AGGTCTGTATGGAAACAATACAGATCTCTCCCCTGTCAACTCCAGCACACTGCTTTGTTTTTGCTCTGCATAGCAGCATTCTTAGGGCTCGTTCACACTTGACTTTATTTCTGACTCTTGCAAAACGCCTCTATAGTGTTTGGGAAGCGTTTTTAACACTCCCCAAACGCCCCATGCGCAGTTTTGAGGTGGTTGATAGGCGTTTGCCAAGCGTTAAAAACCACCTATGATGAAGTTAAATGGTCTTAACGCTCCGCAACCGCACCGCAAACACCTACCAGGCGTTTGCAGAGCGACACCATAGACTTGAATGGGAGGCTTCAACTCCTCCTGACTGAACACGAGGCGTCCATTTTGCCGCGATGCGACGCTAACGCTTCAGTGTGAACAGCACTGTGTGTCTCCATGTGCAGAATTTTCATAGGCGTTTGAGAGGCGTTAAAAACGCTTCCCAAACGCCTGTCTGATGTCTGCTGACAAATTTAGTGTGAACTGAGCCTAACACAGTAAAACACACAGGGCACACAGTTAACCCTTTGATTTGCCCAGATGTTAACCCCTTCCTGCCCAGTGCCATTAGTACAGTGTCAGTGCTTTTTATTAGCACTGATCACTGTATTGGTATCACTGGAGATGTCAGTGGTAGTTAGTGAGGACCCTCCGCAGTCGCTGATCGCCGCCATTACTAGTATAAAAAAACATTTTTTTTAAAAATTCCAGAATACAGGTACAGTATGTACACTCCATTTGTAAATGCTATAAACTTTCATGTAAACCAATTATTTTAAACTTATTGGGATTTTTTTTTTAAATAGCAAAGACACGGAGCAGAATACATTTTGGCTTAAATTTATAACGAAATTAGATTTTTTTAAAATATTTTACTGGATATGTTTCATAGCAAAAAGTCAAAAATAATGGTTTTTTTTTTGTTGTTGGTCTCTTTGTTTATAACGCAAAAAAATAAAAAAAAATGCACAGGCGATCAAATACCACCGAAAGAAAGCTCTACTTGGGGGGAAAAAGGACATACATTTAATTTGTGTGCAGTGTTGCATGACTGTGCAATTGTCAGTTAAAATAATGCAGACCTGTGCCGCAAAAAATTTGCTGGTCAGGAGGGGGGGGGGGGGTAAATCCTCTGGAGGGCAAGTGGTTAACAGGCTGCCAGCAGTGGGGCAGGACAGGACCCCTGTGCCCTTCCCCCCAGCAGTGGACCTGGACAGGACCCCCGTGCCCTTCCCCCACAGCAGTGGACCTGGACAGGACCTCCGTGCCCTTCCCCCACAGCAGTGGACCCTGGACAGGACCCCTGTGCCCTTCCCCCACAGCAGTGAACCTGGACAGGACCCCCCCCTCCCACAGCTGCCCTTCCCCCACAGCAGTGGACCTGGACTAGGACCCCCGTGCCCTTCCCCCACAGCAGTGGACCTGGACAGGACCTCCGTGCCCTTCCCCCACAGCAGTGGACCCTGGACAGGACCTCCGTGCCCTTCCCCCACAGCAGTGGACCCTGGACAGGACCTCTCCGTGCCCTTCCCCCACAGCAGTGGACCTGGACAGGACCTCCGTGCCCTTCCCCCACAGCAGTGGGGACCTGGACAGGACCCCCGTCCCCTTCCCCCCACAGCAGTGGACCTGGACAGGAACCCCCGTGCCCTTCCCCCACAGCAGTGGACCTGGACAGGACCCCCGTGCCCTTCCCCCCACAGCAGTGGACCTGGACAGGACCCCCGTGCCCTTTCCCCCACAGCAGTGGACCTGGACAGGACCCCCATGCCCTCCTCCTGCAGCTAAACCCCGGAGCCCCATACATTGGAGATAAATGTCTAGATTGCTCGGGGGATAAAAATGTAAAGTTTCTTTGACTCAGCAAAGTGAATATTGGTAAATAAATGGAAGGTGTGTTCACTTCAATCAACCAATCATGTGCAAGCAACTATTCTGTTTTTACCTTTTTTTTTCTTTTGTAAGTGCACACAGGACACACATTGCAGAGTGAGGGGAAGAATTTCCTCCATGCACAGCTGACTTCCTGTCTGGGGACTCCATAGAGAAGTATGGAGAGCTGTCCTGTCAGGTCTGCTGTGTGTATTGACAGAGAGGAGGCTTCACCAGAAATGACACAGACAGGTCCTCCCCAGCAGATGTATGCGGCCTCATTCACACAGGCGGGTGTGTTGCTCAGCAGTGCAGTGACATGCAGTACATCCAGTATACATGGTATATATTTCTGCAATGTTCCGCACATCACGCCAGCAATGCGCTGTTAATGGGGCGTCCAGAATACAATTGTTATGTACAGGATGTGTCCAGCAGTGAGCTGTGTACTCCAATGCAGAAAGGCAGGTCTCCGGACTATGATGGAAGACCCTCCATGTGGGAGATCCCATTTCCTAGTGACCTTGGACTAACATATCATCTCTGTATATGAGGATTCCCCCTGTTAGGAATGGACTGGCCCAGCAATGGTGGGACTCACCTGCCTTTTGATCTGCAGTACCAGGGCTGGCCAGCGGGTGCTCCCAGCAATCAGAGACTCAACCTTTCAGCCAGATAACACCTGGAACTGATGATGCTGGGGTATTTAAGGGATGGCCAGACTTGCAGACTCTGCCTTGGTGTTGTGTTTGTCCTGGGCCCTGTATCTGTCCTGCATCCTGTTTCTGTTCCTTTGCTGACTTCTCTCTGCTCTGATCCTGGCTTGTGACCCTGACCATTCCTCTGTCTGACCCTCTGTACTACGCTGCTTGCTACCTGTTCTGATCCCTGGCTTGTGACCCCGACCATCCCTCTGTCTGACCCTCTGTACTATGCTGCTTGCTACCTGCTGAACCTGGCCTGTGACCCCGACTATTCTCCGCTTGCTCCCCCTGTACCTACCTGCCCGATTGATATTGACCCGGCCTGCCTGACGACGCTTGCTTGTATATACTGTTATCTGTGGGTGGTTTGGTTTGGTTTGTTTGCACTGTATTATGTTTAGTATTGCACTGCGTTTATGTTTGTATTGTTAGTGTTAATAAATTATATTGTTTATAACATATCTGAGGTCTGCGTTTCCCTGCTTCAGTCACACACCTCTGGTCATACCTGGGAGCCCTGACATTACACCAAGGCCAATCCTGACCAGAAGTGGCTGCACAGGGAAGCCATCTTGGTTTGTTGATGGGAAGGATGGATCTTGATGAGGTTGAGTATTTATATCTGCTAGTGTTTGATGACAGGGAGTATGCTTATCAAACTCTGAAGGAGTATACCCGGGATGAACTGCTAGAATGTATCCGGCTCGCTCATGTTCTAGTAGATCAGGCACAGTGTTCTCTGAGGTGCAGCCATTGATTGAGGTTTGTGCTGAGTTGGTTTCATCTGGTTCCCCCGAATGCAGGGATGAATTTTTTGCCACCATTTAGTGCAGACCAGGTAGAGTCCCTGGTGTGGTTATTAGAGGATGATGTGGGTTACTTTCTGGAGCGTTATTCCACATGTTCACCACAGACACTGAGAAGATTGTATAAACGCAGTGCAGTCATTGACCAGACAGGCTTTGTGTAAGCTCAGCTTTGTTCAAACCCATACTGCAGACATGGACAGACTTGTTGCACCCAGCCTCAGTCAGCTTACAAAAACCCAGTCCTGTTTCTAACTCTACTCCTGTATTCCCACCAGCTCCTCCAGTTACAGCCCAGTATACTTGGCTATCTACCCGCATGTCAGTACCCTGTTCCCACTCGCTGCACCTATCCTGCCTTTAACCCTGTAAAAAAGCCCTCTGTAGCAACTGCTCCCTCTCCTGTTCCATCCTCCAGTTTTTTCTCTGTCTCCAGCTGCTCCATTCGTTTGCAGACCTGCGTTTACTTGCAGTGCTCCAGTAATTAAAACCAGAAAAAAGCGAAAATTCTTTCCAACCAATACCATCCTGCCAGTATCCAAACCGGTGAACCAGCCTGAAGCCTCTACTCAGCCTGAAGCCTCTCTTCAGCCCAGATGCCTCTCTTCAGCCGGATGCCTCTCTTCAGCCGGATGCCTCTCTTCAGCCGGATGCCTCTCTTCAGCCGGATGCCTCTCCTCAGCCGGATGCCTCTCCTCAGCCGGATGCCTCTCTTCAGCCGGATGCCTCTCCTCAGCCGGATGCCTCTCCTCAGCCGGATGCCTCTCCTCAGCCTGAATGCCTCTCCTCAGCCGGATGCCTCTCCTCAGCCTGAAGCCTCTCCTCAGCCTGATGCCTGCATTCAGCCTGATGCCTCAGCAGGATGAACTGATCCAGCCCGACGATCCTATTAGGCCAGTTGACTCGATGCCCGCTGTTGATCCAGATGATCCGGTACCTGGTCCAGTGCCCGCTGTCGTGCCAATTGACTCAGAGCCCGCTGTCATACCTGTGGTGACCCGGTGCCCACTGCCTTGCCAGATGACGCGGTGCCCGCTGGCAAGCCAAATGACCTGATGCCTGGTGACCCAGTGCCCGCTGTCATACCTGGTGACCCGATGCCCGCTGTCGAGCCAGACAATCCGGTACCTGATGCCCCGGTGCTCACTGTCGTGCCTGTTGACTCGGAGCCCACTGCCTTGCCAGATGACGCGGTGCCCGCTGTCGAGCCAAATGACCTGATGCCTGGTGACCCAGTGCCCGCTGTCCAGTCAGACGATCCAATGTCTGACCCAGTGCCCGCGGTCATAACCAGTTGACTCGGAGCCCACTGCCTTGCCAGATGACGCGGTGCCCGCTGACAAGCCAAATGACCTGATGCCTGGTGACCCAGTGCCCGCTGTCATACCTGGTGACCCGATGCCCGCTGTCGAGCCAGACAATCCGGTACCTGATGCCCCGGTGCTCACTGTCGTGCCTGTTGACTCGGAGCCCACTGCCTTGCCAGATGACGCGGTGCCCGCTGTCGAGCCAAATGACCTGATGCCTGGTGAACCGATGCCCGCTGTCCAGCCAGACGATCCAATGTCTGACCCAGTGCCAGCGGTCATCCTAGTTGACTCGGAGCCCACTGTTGTGCCTGGTGACTCGGTGCCCGCGCCGCCCCGCCTGGGGCCCGAGACCTGTCGTTCCGCCTAAGGGCCCGAGACCTGTCGTCCGCCTGGGGGCCCGATGCCTGTCGCCCCGCCTGGGGGCCCGATGCCTGTCGCCCCCGCCTGGGGGCCCGATGCCTGTCGCCCCCGCCTGGGGGCCCGATGCCCTGTCGCCCCGCCTGGGGGCCCGATGCCTGTCGCCCCGCCTGGGGGCCCGAGGCCTGTCGCCCCGCCTGGGGGCCGAGGCCTGTCGCCCCGCCTGGGGGCCCGAGGCCTGTCGCCCCGCCTGGGGGCCGATGCCTGTCGCCCCGCCTGGGGGGCCCGAGTCCTGTCGTTCCGCCTAAGGGCCCGAGACCTGTCGCTCCGCCTGGGGGTCCGGCACCTGCCGCTCCGCTTGAGGGCCCGAGACCTGTCGCTCCTCCTGGGGGGTCCGGCGCCCGCCGCTCCGCCTGAGGGCCCGAGACCTGTCGCTCCACCTGGGGGTCCGGCGCCCACCGCTCCGCCTGAGGGGCCCGAGACCTGTCGCTCCATCTGGGGGTCCGGCGCCCGCCGCTCCGCCTGAGGGCCCGAGACCTGTCGCTCCACCTGGGGGTCCGGCGCCCGCCGCTCCGCCTGAGGGCCCGAGACCTGTCGCTCCATCTGGGGGTCCGCCGCCCGCCGCTCCGCCTGAGGGCCCGAGACCTGTCGCTCCTCCTGGGGGTCCGGCGCCCGCCGCTCCGTCTGAGGGCCCGAGACCTGTCGCTCCACCTGGGGGTCCGGCGCCCGCCGCTCCGCCTGAGGGCCCGAGACCTGTCGCTCCAGCTGGGGGTCCCGGCGCCCGCCGCTCCCGCCTGAGGGGCCCGAGACCTATCGCTCCATCTGGAGTCCGGCGCCCGCCGCTCCGCCTGAGGGCCCGAGACCTGTCGCCCCCGCCTGGGGGCCCGAGGCCTGTCGCCCCGCCTGGGGGCCCGATGCCTGTCGCCCCGCCTGGGGGCCCGAGGCCTGTCGCCCCGCCTGGGGGCCCGAGGCCTGTCGCCCCGCCTGGGGGCCCGAGGCCTGTCGCCCCCGCCTGGGGGCCCGAGGCCTGTCGCCCCGCCTGGGGGCCCGAGGCCTGTCGCCCCGCCTGGGGGCCCGAGGCCTGTCGCGCCCCGCCTGGGGGCCCGAGGCCTGTCGCCCCCGCCTGGGGGCCCCGGGCCTGTCGCCCCGCCTGGGGGCCCGAGGCCTGTCGCCCCGCCCGGGGGCCCGGTGCCTGTCGCCCCGCCCGGGGGCCCGGTGCCTGCTGCTACCGCCCGCCCGGGGCCCGGTGCCTGCTGCTGCTCCGCCTGGTGGCCCGCTGCCTGCTGCTTCGCCTGGTAATCTGATGTGCCTCTGCCCGGAGTCCTGCCCGATGTGCCTCTGCCCGGAGTCCTGCCCGATGTGCCCGATGTGCCTCTGCCCGGAGTCCTGCCCGATGTGCCTCTGCCCGGAGTCCTGCCCGATGTGCCTCTGCCCGGTGTGCCTCTGCCGAGTCCTGCCCGAGTGGCCTCTGCCCGGTGTGCCTCTGCCCGGTGTGCCTCTGCTCGATGTGCCGCTGCCCGGAGTCCAGCCCGGTGTGCCGCTGCCCGGAGTCCTGCCCTGTGTGCCAGTCTTTGATATCCCGCCAGTTGCACCCGGGCGGTGGAACATTTTGCCCAGCTAGGACTGTTTGGAGCGTCCTGAGGCCGCTCCTTGAGGGGGGGGGGGTACTGTTAGGAATGGACTGGCCAGCAATGGTGGGACTCACCTGCCTTTTGATCTGCAGTACCAGGGCTGGCCAGCGGGTGCTCCCAGCAATCAGAGACTCAACCTTTCAGCCAGATAACACCTGGAACTGATGATGCTGGGGTATTTAAGGGGCCATGGCCAGACTTGCAGACTCTGCCTTGGTGTTGTGTTTGTCCTGGGCCCTGTATCTGTCCTGCATCCTGTTTCTGTTCCTTTTGCTGACTTCTCCTGCTCTGATCCTGGCTTGTGACCCTGACCATTCCTCTGTCTGACCCTCTGTACTACGCTGCTTGCTACCTGTTCTGATCCCTGGCTTGTGACCCGGACCATCCCTCTGTCTGACCCTCTGTACTATGCTGCTTGCTACCTGCTGAACCTGGCCTGTGACCCCGACTATTCTCCGCTTGCTCCCCCTGTACCTACCTGCCCGATTGATATTGACCCGGCCTGCCTGACGACGCTTGCTTGTATATACTGTTATCTGTGGGTGGTTTGGTTTGGTTTGTTTGCACTGTATTATGTTTAGTATTGCACTGCGTTTATGTTTGTATTGTTAGTGTTAATAAATTATATTGTTTATAACATATCTGAGGTCTGCGTTTCCCTGCTTCAGTCACACACCACCCTCTGGTCATACCTGGGAGCCCTGACACCCCCTAAATACCACCTGGAAGGAAGATCCATGGGAAGTCCTCGTCTCCCTCCCGGGTCCTTCCTGTCCCTGACCTCCCCGGGCCTCACAATGGATCCCGGTCCCATCAGAGGTCATCCTAGTCCTGTACAGGAGAAGGTTTGTGGGATTTGGGATTCTCAGCTTTCCTGTATATGTGTGTGATGCAGAGCTGAGTGTGGGGGAGGGGCGGGCGCCCCGGTGTCCGTATTGTAGTAGAAGGTCCTCTGTATAGAGGAGATGTCCGTTCTCTTCCTGGGTTCCGGTGTAGATTCCATCCTACCGCTACTCCGGCTCACATCTCCCTCTTCTCTCTGCAGGGATCCATATCGTCCAGGAGATGTACGGCTGTGAGCTGAGAGATGACGGCACCACTGCGGGGTATCAGCAGTACGGATATGATGGGAAAGAATTCTCCTCTCTGGACACACAGAGAGGGATCTGGATCCCGACCATGAATGAGGCTCAGATCACCACACAGAGATGGAACAGTCCGGAGGAGAGACTGGGGGAGATAGACAAGAATTATCTGGAGAATGAATGTATAGAGTTCCTGAAGAAACACATCAACAATGGGAGAGAAGATCTGGAGAGGAGAGGTGACCGCACTACATACATCATACATGTTATATCTACACACCATATACACACCGCACTACATACATCATGTTATATATATACACACCGCACTACATACATCATATATGTTACATCTACACACCGCACTACATACATCATATATGTTACATCTACACGCCGTATAGACACACCGCACTACATACATCATATATGTTACATCTACACGCCATATATACACACCGCACTACATACATTGTTTTGGACTAGGTCACTTACAGACCATCACCGTGCTCTACCAGTGAGCCAAATTAATATGAGAATACGTGCACGTGGAAGTAAGACACTGACACTTCGCAGTTTGCCAGCTTCCCAAAATTCTGTTTTATTGAGGAACTAACAGTATCATTTATAGGGCATATGATGCAGGCAAAGCATATACATTGATTGGGTGAAAAGTCCACTGGGTTTCTGCGTGTTCTTTCATCCGTGTTGATATCTTCCAATCATTGTCCCCAAAGAGACTTCATTCCCTTTTATGGGGGTTGTTTACATTAAAAGATACTTTTCTCCTAATGAGTCACCAAGGGGCGAGACTCCGGATGAAGGCGCCATCTTAATTATCATCATTGTTCTGTCAACCTATATCTGATTGTTTACTTTATAGAGTAAGGAATTTTTTTAAAGAACAAGAAACATAAAGTAGCAAGACTATAAAAATTGTCATTTTACTGATCATCTAATAAAACGTGGACTGTCTATCACAATCCACTACAATCCCCCTTAAAATGGCTATTTTATTCCTGACTTTCCCTATGTCTTCTGATGTCCCTAACTGCCTGGTGGCCCTCCCTCTGGAACTCTTTTAAGACGCATATAGAGCCCCTGAGTGGCTAATCCATCCCTAGAGTCTCGATACGTCCTGAGAAGGCCACAGTCAGGCACTGTCTTTCCCTGCTTATAGTTGTCTGTTAGGGGGGGAAATTTGTAGCATTCCCTTTTTTTTATAAGTCTGAAATATGATGATCAGGGGCCATGGTCTGTAAGGGAGTAATAGGATTCCCTTTCTTCACGGGGAAGTTCAACATTTGTTATAGTTCAGGAATATAGGGGAGATCTCGTTCACTAGCTTTCCCTATTAGCCTCTTAATGCAAGGGATCACACAGCAGGCGACTATTGCCATTAGAATGGTAATACCCAGGATAACCACCCCCTGCTTGGGCGAGGGCTTTCTGCCAGCCACTCAGCCATCCAAACCACTGATCCCAGGGATTGTGTAATACCAGAGTTTTCCTTAAGCTCATTTGACAGGTCCTCCAACCTCTTGATGGCCAGTGTCACCTTCCCATTTGGGCCTGTGTTATCTGGGATATACGTACAGCAGTCATGGTCTTTGGTATCATTTTACAAACCCCCCCTTTTTCAGCTAATAACATATCGAGTGTCATACGTTTTTGAAAGACCATGTTAGAAGTAGCCTCCAACTGCTCTGCTATCCCCTTTAGGGCATCTCGTGTGTAGTTTACAAACCCGTTGTTGATTATAGTAGATGTAGTTTATCCAATCTACATTCTTGTTCTCAGTGATGAAGAGGAATAGGGATTCAAATCCCGCGGCCCACCTGGTCTCTGGCCTTGAATTCATCGGGTACCCCCCTTGGGACTCCTATCGCATCTATATAGACATGGGGGTCAAAACTCCCTTGTGGGGCACTTCGTTTGTGCTTGGTTGCATGGGGGGGGGGTTGGGCGGCCCCTTAAGTAATGGATCTGAGAGGATGTGCAATGGCATTTATGGCATTGGCAAGAGTACATTCCCCTCTCCATTTCCCTATCAGTCGGGTCCTAATCTTCTGATCACCACAGATCCAGAATATATCCCCCAATGATATGACCTGGTTCTGGGTTAGAT